AATTCGATCTTTCATGGCTCCCAAGAAAGCTGATAAGGAGAGCATCATTAGAGCTGCTTTGCAGCACAGAATTGACCATCCTGAGCTCTCAGTAAGCAAAATTACCACACTCTTTAGTATTTCAAACACAACTTTGCAAAACCACCTTAGACGCAAGACAACACCTGCCCCAGAGGCTCATGAGCCTCAGCAACTACTTACCAAGGTTGAAGAGAGTGTTATTATTGAGAGGATCAAGGACTGTGATGATAGTGGGATTCCTCTTCACCGGAGACATGTTTTGGATATGGTATACCAGTTGCAAAAGATGAAAGAGAAAACAGGAGTAATTGGGAAGCATTGGGTGGATCGGTTCGTTACAAGACATCCAGAGATTCAATCCAAGGTTGGGAAGACCTTGGATAAGCAGTGATCCCTTGCCACTGATCCAGAAATCTTCAGAGAACACCTCAATCACTACCACAATATGCGCTGCAAATATCATATTAAGCTAGAAGACACTTGGAATACCGATGAGAAGGGATTTGCAATAGGTCTGGGAGGTGGTGGGATTATCTTATGCCGCACTGGTAGGAAGAATCCAAGGATTATGTAGGATGGAAAGCGGTCTTGGGTTACAGTTGTGGAAGCTATTTCTGGCAATGGAAAGTCGATTCCGCCTCTTATTATTCACGCCTCGAATGCCCACCTCATGGGGCATCATAGTAACATCAACTATAAGAAGAATATGGATGCCTATTTCACACACTTGAAGGCAGGTTACACCATGACAGAGATTACATTGAACTGGTTGGTGAACATCTTCGAACCAAAAACGAGGCCAGAAAACGGAATCAAGAATCATCGAATGCTGGTTTTAGATGGACACAGCTCTCATGTGAACAATATTGAGTTCATTGAGCACTGTATTAAGATGAACATCCACCTGATATGTCTTCCTGCTCATACAACCCATGTTCTTCAACCCTTGGACATTAGAATCTTCTCCTCTATGGGAACCAGTGATCGAAAGGAGTTGGAAGACTTTCTCCGTGATCATGGACCCAATTGGGCAATGCATAAAGGTGACTTTTATCCGATGTACCACAAGGCAAGAGCAAAGGCCATGAGTGAGAGGAATATTCTGTCAGCTTAGAGGGCCAGTGGCATGATCCCATTCAATCGGCAGAGAGTTTTGGGCCAGTCTGGGCTTCAATTGAGTACTCCACTGTCCAGACCTGTGAATAAACACCGTTCTTGCCTTCGTTCCCTCCCCACCCGTGCCGAGACATCCTCTGAACTCAATAAGATCTGGGAGGAAGCCAACCAACTCGAATTCAATGATACAAGTCGTACTGTTTTCAACAAAGCTTTGGACTTGTGTAGCAAGGCAAATGCCCAGTCTGTTCTCGATGCTGCAACTATTACCAAGATCCAAGCTGTCAAGCACAGTACTACAGACCGCCGCCAGATTAAGGGTGGCCTTATTCTTCATACCTCAGTTCTTTCTAGGCTCTATAAAAAGCGTGAGAGTGATGATATACGCAAAAAGGATTTGGCTGCAAAGAAGAAGATCTCACGATAGCAACAGAAGACCAAATCGCAAGCGGTTACTTCCAGAAGGAAGGCTAGGTCCCAGCCAAGAGCTGTTGAAAACCTGGAGATTATTGATGCAGAGGAGGATGAGATGGACAGTGATGAGTCCACTGAATCAGTAAGTAGATATTCATCTATTTTATCATATTTTGAAATTAATAGCTTGCATTTTCTAGGAGGAAAATCCGATTTCTAACAACATGGCTCCAAGCATCATCTGCCCCCAGCACTCCTCATGCAAAAAGGTTAACTATCTGGTCATTTTAAGCTCTGATTCTCAGGACAATAGTGATTAAATCATGAACTATCACTTTGGGGTCTCAATCCTGCAATTTGTATTATTACAAAACAATCTTCTTTGTACATTATATGACAATTGAAAGCAGTTATATTACAAGGTTTAAGGCCTGGAGAGTAAATATTGAGTTAGTGGTAGTAATTTTTAATGTTTTTACAAGTAGGCCGAAACTGACCCATTACTAGGGGTTGACCCATAACTAGGTACAATACGTTACTGGCCACAGAATATTTAATACAAGTTTGCTTAAGGAGTAATAGTTATGTTCTGGGGAGCAATTCTCTATGGGAAAGCTGGTATATACTTAAAATCCTTTTCTTTATTATTTTAATTACTACCTTAATTATTTTAATTATTATTCTGAAAACTACTTGGATATTATTTAAATTCTTTAATTTTGATTATTACTATTGTTTATTTATTTTTATTATTTATTATTTATTATGTACATAAAAGCTAATTGTATATAAATTTTAATAGAAAAGGATCTTTTATATTATTTGTATTTCTTGCCTTATGAAAATAAAATACGACAAAAGATAGTAGTACTGCTATTTCAACAAGAATACTAGCATAAGCTAGCAGAAAATGCTCCATATATTGCAGCTAGTTTGGAAGTTCTATTTCCAGAACTGGAACTTAGAGTTTGTAAGGTAGATAGAAAAGGCAGAATAGATTGGTTCATTTATTGTAAATGAATTCTAAATCCCCTTCTCTATCTCTTTACAGTACAGGCCAAGCTTGACTTCCCTGACCAGGATATCATAATAATGGAGGATAATGCTTCTAGACATATTCACCATTATCATGATAACCTATGAGAGAGGTTGGATCACCAAAAGCTGGTCTGGTCAGCAATCTCGCCTGACTTGAATCCAATTGAAACAATTTGGATGAAGATTAAGGATAAGCTTTGTGAACAAATTGGGTCCAGAATGACAACACGGCAGATTCATACTTTTCTTGAATATATAAGTTTTTGTTTTTATTTTGTTTATTTGTATCTAACTTATTTACAACTTTTAGGAGTGGGAAAACTATTCTCAGTCCTGTATAAATTACTATATAGAGTCCATGTCTTCTTGGATTGAGGCCTGCATTGTGGATGAAGGGGGAAACAATTTTAATTTCTAAAACTGTATTATAATTATTTTCCTTCTTTATCCTGTACAAGTAAACTCAAGTAATAATATCGAAGTACATGTACTTTATATATATATTTCTCGTGATCTCACTCAATACTCAAATATGTAAATACTTGAGTACTTGAGTACTTGAGTCTCAACAACTCTTACCCCTTGGTATTCCCTTACACCATATGCATGCCAATACATACTAACACAAGCCTGGTCGTATTCACAAACATCAGGACATTACGAGTATTCGAGTTCTTACGGTACTCGAGTACTCGTATTCCACAAAATAAAAAGTCTGCTTCCGAGTCGTGGCCGCTGCCAATAGTGGTAGCGCATGCGATTCCTCTCGTCCTCTGATAGGCTTGACAAAGTGAGGGTGGGGGATTAATCGCTAGTGTCCATCTAGAAGTCAAAGATTACCAGAAGCAAGTCTCTCTGATGTGGCTGATGTTTGGGCCTAGGTAAAGGTCTGGGGGACTTTTTATCTTGGCCAGCACTTTAATGTATAGTGCAAATTCACTCAAACCGGACCCTCTGAACAAGCCAAACACGATTCTGAACTAGTCAATTACAACACAAAATTTTTATAAAAAGAAAGTGCTGAAGTGAAGCTATTAGAAGGGAGAAGAGATTAGTGTTTTTTTTTTCTTGATTAAAGGCTGTGGAAAAATGTAGTTTAAGATTAAAAAGTGAAAATTTTAGTAAGAGCAGAACAAAGGATAGAATCTACCTAGTACCATGCTGAAAAATACTGTGACATGTAGATGACTAACATAATAATATTATAGTAAAAATAAATAATTGTGAAGTTATGAGCCTAATACACAACCACTATTATCAACAATTATAAATTCAATTCCATGTCACAATTACAATGCTGTCTATTAACATCAAATTCAAGCATATATGTACTATTGGATCAGAAGGAGGCTGTTCTAAAAAGCCACATGAGTCATATATAAAGTATTTAATTCTATTTAATTCTATTTATTTCTGCATTATCTACTATTTCACTTGTTTCCTGGATGTGTATCATTTCACCTTACTCATCATTCCTTGGCAATTCTTGGCTCAATTCCGATCGGTTGCAACGGGATCGCTGTTCCACCGGAGGGCCCACCTTTGGACGCTTTGCACCGTATGATATGATATCGTTTGTAGCTAACTACGGTACGGGGCGACCGCCGAACCGGCATACGCCCCAGCACGACATTCCATAGTTTACCGGTAGTATCATACCGGTAACATACTTTACCGCACCGAACAATCTCGGGCGGGAGCTCCTCCCGTCTCTTCCAGCCGGGGGTGGCGCCTCTCCCGGAAATCTGGAGTGCGGAAAATTGACACAATGCCCGTCAGTATAATTTGATGGAGCGTAGCTCAATGGAAAAATCTTTCAAACACCATAAAGGATAGGAGGGTATGGTATATACCTCTCCAGGTATTACAATTCTTGACCAAACCATCTCATCCGCAAGGTTTCATACCATAATGAACAAAATATATACACTTTCACCTGGCTGGGGATTACTTGAAACCTGATGGTATTTTCCTAGAGTAGTTTTCTTTTTTTAACAGCATTCTTGGGATTTTGGGCATAGGAGGCTCCTCCCAAAATGGTCCAGTTTTAAGAAAGAGCAGGCCAACACAGAGGTTTTCTGGTTGTAAAGAAACTGGAAAGGTATAAAAATTGACTGTTTGGTTTTCCTTTTTATCCCCTTTATTTTTCGAATTTTTCCCTGATCTCGTGATGGCCCAAAAGTAAGTTTTCCCAGGCAGTTTTTGCTGAGAAAAGCATGGTGTTTAAAAGGTTTACCTATTTAGTTATAATCCATCAAACCTACCGTCAGGCATTGTGTCATAGCAGGCAATGAGTACCCATGCTATCGAATTGGCGGGCATTATATCAATTTTCCGTCCAAAGTGACATGCCCGATCCTTTGTTGGAACTCTTCTAGGTCAATTATTGAAAAACCAAAAACTTAATAGCTGCTCAGCTGGTCTAGTGGTATGATTCTCGTTTAGGGTAATACCTTGAGTACGTTTGCGAGAGGTCCTCGTTTCAAACCCGGGGTCGAGCCTACTCTTTTCCCCTCCTTCTTGGGTGGAGGTTATCTAGTATCACCTGAACCTTCGTGATTTGATAGGAATACAGTATTCGAACTCACCAAGGGTGCCGAGCCACCTGACTGGCGCGGAACGTCCAAGGAATACTAGCACTGCAGTTACACATCTTTTGGGGGAATCCCCAATCCGTAAACAATTCACGATTCAAGCCCCTGAATACTACTGTCCATCAGCCCCGGCTGCACCCCTTAATTGTCGATACTGTACTTCTTTTAGCTTGCTCTTCAACCAGTCATATCCAGCAATTCCCTTGCCCATTGCGTACATTTCCCTATATCTTGAAGGCTAGATATGCTAATGTATCATCCCTGATAGCTAACTGATCGCGGACTAGATACTCGGCCCGTTGCTCAGTCATTTACTCTGGTCATTATTTACGATAGCTAATCTAACCCCGGTGAGCACCCAGCGAATTGACCAATTATAAAACCCACGCCCTGCACAATCAAATCTCCGAAAGAAGAAAAAAGCTTAACCCCGATTGTGGATGAAGAGGGGGCGGACGGGCTACGGACAGCGGGTTATCCGGGGCCCACGAAAGGAGCATGAGGGATCTTCAAGGTTCGGTTTCGAATAAATTTTCGATGTTTGACACCGTCTATTGGAAACCTGCTTCCCATTGCGGAGAGAGGTTGTCAAGCAGGGCACTAAGTGATGATCGATGACGCATAAACTCACTCTGTTTTTTTCTTTTCCCGGGGGACACATTGACGGGGGATGATATCGATCCTGCCCTGCATGAACGATGGGATCTAACCTACGAGCAATATTCAAGGGGAGCGTGTCTATCTTGAATGCGGGGTATTAGAAAACAATTTACTCTGCTTCTACCGACGCTATTTCCGGTACAGGTATACAGGCACTGTATTAGGGCGTTCCGGGGTTGGTTGGTTGGTTGGTTTATCCCAGCTATGATATTTCGTCTTGGCGAGCCTGCGACGACAAATATCAATATTAAACGCACATCCGTGGTTGGCGGTGAACGAAGTTTAGTATGATACTAAATGATATGGGTACTGATATACGAAAATTGGTCCGCTCCCCGAATGCAACAAATCAGCCTCAATACATGCGATACTTCTTGAGTCTAGAGAGTATGATCTGAACATCTCAAAATATATTTCTCATGAGAATTGAACTCTTTATTTGCTCTTAATTTTAAAATGTTGAATTATCTGTATTAAAATGTATGATTTCCTTATTCTATATGGTCACATACATGAGTTGGTATGATTCATATATGTAACCATGTATGACTTATAGATATTTTCTTGGTTGGGTGGCTACGCATGTGATTAGATTATAGGTATATATAGACAGGTTTATTTCCTACATTATTATCATCCTCCTTGCACTCTTTACATCTGGTTTTTGAAATAGTAACTCCAGAAAATCATTGTCACTTTTTCCCTGCTCTACTCACAGGGGGTTTGTGGGAATACCCATCCTCCTCTCATCCCACACAAGTGTACATTTCTTTCCTATAGCTCTTGGGTCTGCTTTGCCTCTTGGGTCCCTTTCCTCTTTATTGCCTCTTCTAGCAGGACTTCCCCATAGTTGGTATACCTTTACCCCGGTTCTGGCAGATGGCTGGAATATGGTTTATGGTAAGCAATTTATTAGGCTTTGGTCGACTTTGCCCCTTTTCTTCCAGAAGAATGGCTTTAGGCTGGTGTTCTGGAGACCGCCTAGTACAAACATGCACATGATTCTGATAGCCTACTCTGGTGCTTTGGTGGTTGCCTTCCTCATTTTCTCCTCTTTGTGGTAGGATTGGCTAGTATCCTACTGCTCCCTTGTTTAGCTGGCACCTTATTGCTTCCCTCCTTTGGCTGACACCTTTTTGCTGGCAGTGTTTACTGTGCCTCTCTTCTGGGGCTCAAGTGGCCCACCACTCCTATCACGCCAACTTCCTTTCTAGTAGTATTGTGCTGTTTCGAGTAGTTTGGTTTTGGGTTTACCTTTTTTCAGTGTCGGTTAGCTGTAGGCTTTCAGGGGCTAGGCTAGATCGTATATATTTTTGCTCCCTATTAGTCACTCTTGGGTGCAATGTCGGAGGTTTTCTTCTGCTTCTTTCTTTTGTTGGCACAGGAATTGTTAAGAGGTAGATTTACTCCTTCCATTTAGTTTTTTAGGTTTCTTTTTTCATAGCTTAGCTGCTGTATGCGATATCTTAGCCTAGTAAAATAAATAAGAATTATGAGTTAAAAAGAAAATTTTTTTTCTTTCTATATTATCATACAGACCCAATCCTCTACTTTCCTTGCAATTGAAAACTCAACACCCTGGATTCTTATCGTAAGTCAATCCACACTCTTTAGCTACCCAAATACCTCTAAGGTGGTACCTTTCTTTTCCCCTCGCAGCCTTCAGGTGGTGATATCCTATCGACTAAGGGATGCTTCTTCTTAGAGAAAAAGGTACTACTGGAGAAGAATTGTAATACTCCAGTGACTTGGGGTTTTTTTCTATCTCCTCAGCCTTTGCTTTGCTTAGGCACCCATAGTCAGACAATCCGCCCACCTTGCTTCTGAAGACTGGGATTACTGTTTGTGGTAGAAGGGAACTCGCTTACAGACTTCGGTCAATCCTTCCATCTTTTCTTTCTTTGAGGCTAGCTAGTTCAGGCACCAACATAGTTCTGATAGTCATATTGGTACTGGGTTTTGTTGGTCTATGGCATCCTCCTTTCTCAATTGGTTCATGGGTATTGTATAGCCCCTTTTGACAGCTTTTAGAAACTTTCAGACAAGGCTGCTTTTTTCAGTAGGTGCCTCCAGCCGCAAGGTTTTTATGATTCTTCCCTCCCCCTTTGGTTGGTGACTGTGTTCTCTATTTCTACTTCCTTGCTCCCACTACTCGATCTATATAGGCCCCCAACCTCCTGTACCATGATTAGGATTAGTGGACTCTAGTGTTGGTTGTCTCAGGTGCCCTAACATGTCTGGGCTGCAGCTTATAAGGTTTTGGCTTCTTAGGACATGTTTGTCTTTCTGTTTGGTACTGGTTCTAGTGTAGTGAGGTTTTGGGTCTTGGAGTTTCTTATATTGTTTTTAGTCAGTCATTTCACAATGTAGATTTTTCTTTTCTCTATAGCTTTTCTGGCTGTATGCAGGTTGGTTTGAACTGATACAAAACAAATAAAAACTATTATTCCAAAAAAAAAAACAGAAAACATTTTTCTACATTATCATATAGTTCGATAGCGCAGGTAGGTAATACAATCTTAAAAGTTTTCAACTAGATTGCATTCAACTCTCACTGCCCACTTTATATCCAAAGACAAGTCTTAAAGTAACCAATATTTTCAGGCTATGAGCCTGGCTAAGTATTGCACATAAGATGAACTGGCATAACGTAATGCGCATGTCATGTGATCATTGGCAAAGGGTCACCTGTTTGATTCCAGGGTCCGTCCAAGTATTTGGAGAATTAGTTAATTTCTACCAATATGATATGGGCACTAAACCTGCAATTACGCCACCACCAAAGGTCGCTGACCAAGGGGTTATCACAGAATACTCAAGAGAGAATTCTTGGCTATCCTGACAAGATCGAATGAACTAGATCAGTCAGTTGGTTGTGGAGATAAATGGATGCAAGAATCACTCAGCTGCACCAATGGATGGATGCCGACCGGGGGGATGTCGGCTACTTCGATACAAGTCCCTGGCTGCCATGCAGGCAGTAAGACTAAATTTCAAGTCTGTTGGTGGAGGAATGTGGAGGAAAATCCTGACGAGGGAACGACGCCCAAGAGAAGATCATTCACCCATACCCAGAGGCATGATAGGATAGAGCCAGATGACAGCCTATTGTGTGGAAGGTTAACCCTGAGCATAAAGAGGTCTAAATGCCATTGGCATGATAAGGAAGGAGTATACATCCTGTGGGTTGATGCAGGTGGGCAGTATGCTCAGCTGTATTGATAAGTCCATTGTCGGAGCTGATTACTCTGTATGCAGAGAAAGAACCAGTAACCATTTGTCATGGCGAAAGGGTTTGAGTGACTACAGGTAGAAAGGACAATGTGAGAAGGAGGGTGAGAACACCCTCCCGGCTGTCTTGAAAATTCAGAGTCAAGTGGGGTAAAGGTTTTCAGGGTCTAGGGAGTTCGCACCAGGAGAACAGGGGAAAATTAGATAGCCTGCGAACACCCAGATGCAGAATATAAGTATCAAGGGGTCTCCCACACTTTTACAGACTATCAGTAATGGAGAAGAGATCTTATCAATACATTTGTTATATGATACACTTCTTATAATACTTCTACCATACAATTTCAAGTGAGCCTTACTTGTAACGTGTTCAGGCCAGGCCCTAGTCACGTAGCAGTACAATAGGAGCAGATGGCTTTGTGATCAACACAAAGCGAGCGCTGCTTGCTAAAGGAGGCTTCGAAAGAGGTGTAATAGGAGATCAAAGAAGTAACCGTTCAACCAAGTATATTAAGAATACTGTCTGTCGAAGTCTGCTGTTTCCATTGTGAAATCAGCGGTCTTTAAATACAGCATATCGCTTATCTCCAGTATGAGCGATATTGCAAAACATTGTACGTATCAACCGATAGCATACGAAACAATACAAGTATCAAACGATACTGTAAAACCAAACATAAAACAATGTGTATATCAACTGATAGCACACGAAACACTACGAGTATCAAACGATATTGTGAAACCAA